GTGCGGTTATCGTTCCCGCATTGTGTTTTCTCTGCTTTTGGTAGATGGCATTTGTGCATTTACTTGTCAGGATTCAGAAATGCACATATGATTTTTACTGTCCATGACCCATTTGAGAAGGGGTAAGGTTGGTCGGTTGCGTGCCGGGTTTCTTTGCTGCATTAGAAGTTGTGTCAGGCATAATTTGGCTGACCGTTGAATGGATATTGGAGTTACCCAGCACATGATTCGTGTTATAATGTGATCTTATTGCAATCATGTGATTATTATTATTGATTTTCATCAGCATTTGGGGAGAAATGCTATCCATTCCTTCTCAGTTAGTGTAAATTGCTCGGCAAGGACATGATCTCATTGGCTGCATCCAGTGAGTAGTGCACATCACATATTTTTTATGCCTGCATACATGATTAAACTCAGGATAATGCACATTATCACTGAAGATACATAAATAAATCATTTTTGGACCATGTTTCCTTTTACTTCATAACGTCTTCTTTAGAAGAATAATGTATACTAAAGACGCATTGCACATTACTGATTCTGCTTCATATAACATGTTCTCCTTTTAGTATAAGACATTATGTCTAGCCCGCAAGCTTATATGTATTTAGTGTACCTTTAACTTAAGGCAACCAACTATTATGTTCTTGAAGAGATCTGCGATACTCCTACTGTTTATTTCCTCCACTATATATTGGATAACAACATATTGTTGGTTACCAGTCTGCCAATACTTTGAGAATATTCCGAATTTTTTTGTCAGAAACTGTAACATTTTGGTTCTCCAGGATGTATTGCTGATCCAGATAGATGCCGCTTGCTGAGTGTCGATGCAAAGAGAGAACTTGTCCTTCAATTATCGAAGTGTCCGCATATTGCACTTGGATTGCTACATGAATGGACAAGCCATGATATCAAGCAGATTCTCTTCTCTGTGTTATGTAGAGAGAAAAAATATGAAGGGGTATCAAAGAAAATAATGCTAAAGTATCTCTTCCAAGCTGTGAACGGGGAGCCTTCTGGCCGTGGTAAACGTGTATCCAAGTCAGACCCTGAGCAAAACTCAAGCACTCTCCAGTTCTCTCACAAAAAACTGAGAAAGAATGATGCTACACTGCTTCCAGTTATTGCCAGCACTCCAGTAACAGCTGGTGTAAGTGCACCAACAAACAGTGCATGCCAAAATTCAGCTTGCAGGGCTAGTCTTAATCCAGCGGATAAATTTTGCAGACGTTGCTCATGCTGCATCTGTTTTAAGTATGACGACAATAAGGATCCTAGCCTCTGGCTGTCCTGCAATTCAGACCAACCCTTGCAGGGAGAGTCATGTGGTTTGTCATGCCACTTGGAATGTGCACTCGGGGATGAAAGATCCGGAATTCTGCAGAGTGGACAGTCAAAGAAACTTGATGGTTCTTATCACTGCATCCACTGCGGGAAACAAAATGATTTACTTGGGTATTTCTCTGAAACACTTTCCAGTTATATGTTTGTATTCTAATGTTAGAATTAGTCAGACATATCTGTTTCAGTACTTGGGCTCCCAGTCTTACTTGTTAGCTGCCTTATCGCATCATTTTTGTCCTCGCAAATCTCACAATGATTGACAAATTCAGAATGGGTCAGCTTTTAGCCTAAAATTTACCATACAAATAACCAGTGTAACATATATGTTGTGTAGAGTTGGTACGCGAGTGTCGCAATAATGTCTCTTTAGTTGTCGATCTGAGCTGTCTAGATTCAGTACAGTGGTTAAGATAACTATTTGTTTCTGCTACTATAAGATTATTTCTCATTTATATGTTAGGCTTTTTAGTTATGGTAATTAAGTGAAATAAAAAGAGTGGGGCCAAATTCTTACTATGCACCCACAGTAACTTCATTTTTTTAACAGCGTGGTTTATATTTTCACCTTGTGATTTATACTTGTTCGTAAGCTCCCATCAGGCCGTACTTGTTCGTAATCACCCCACCCTGATTCATAATTTTACTTGGGGTGCTAGAGTGTCTTCCTTATACCTCTCTGTTTGTGAATAATAGTCAGGATACCCTTGCTATCTATGCTTCCATAAAGATAATGTCAAAATGGACGGAAAGAAACAGTAGTACTTGGCATGGTTGAATAACAAAGTTGGTCGGGGATGAGTTATTTTCTCAGCATTTTATCTGTAAACATCTGAATGATAAAGCGTTTTCAGGAATTTGATTTGTTTTTTCCAGTGGGAAATGGTCCTATCAACCGGAAGACCTAATCTGTATATTAGAGAGAATGCAAGCAAGTATAGTTATTAAGGATGACCATGTAATTTCATTTTCTCAGGTGCTGGAAGAAACAACTATTGATAGCAAAAGATGCTCGGAGGTCTGATGTGTTGTGCCATCGGATATCTCTTTGTCATAAGCTCCTCGCATCCACTAAGAAGTACTTGGTCCTCCATGAGTTTGTGGATACAGCATTGAAGAAGCTGGAGGGCGAGCTTGGTCCGATTACTGGCCTTGAAGATAAGGGCCGGGGAATTGTTGGTCGTCTTGTTGTAGGTGCTGAAGTTCAGAAGCTTTGCAGCTGCGCCATAGAGACTCTGGAATCTATGTTATCTGGTGCATTAACAGCTGAGTCACAAACCCGGAGTAAGTTTCCATGCTTCCTTTTTTTCCCTCATGCATGTATGCCTGTAATTGAAATGAATGCTTATGCACATATCACTTGTAATTCAGGTTCTTCTGTGGTACCATCCAACTTCATAAAGCTTGTGGATATATCCCATGAATCTGTCACTGTAGTTTTTGACCTGGATGCATGCCCCATGCTCTCTCAAGGTTTAACTGGCTTTAACCTGTGGCACCGGAAGGCCAGCGAGGAACATTATCCCTCAAACCCAACAGGCATAGTACCGACGCCATCGACAATGCTAGTGGTCAGAGGACTTGCTCCATGTACGTGCTATGTCATCAAGGTTGTTGCATTCACCAACTCAAAGGAGATTGGGTCGTGGGAAGTCAGGACAAATACCATTAACTGCCCCAAGGAAATGGATGCAAAAGATTCGATGCCAGGGGATGCTGGAAAAGATCTGAATAACACAAGCGCGAAGACAAACAGCAGTGGTCTGTCAAATCCTTCTTCTGAAGACGTGGAATCGTACAATGACAGTAGCACTTCTACCGATCTCAGCAGGTCGCCGGAGAGCGACGTTGAATACTGGACAAGTCTTGAAAAGGCACCTCATCGCCACAATGAAGTCGCCGGTGACTCGCGAGATCTTCAAACAGGTGTTGCTGGGGGAACTGAAGTCGACAAGCTGGAGGAAGCTCCTAGGGGTTCACCATCAGCTCTAGACGACGACGACGACGAAGAGGAACCCAGTTCAGCTGCTGAAGCAGCTTTGCCAAAGAGGCCGTCAGAGTTGATGGTGTGCAGCCGGGAAGCTCTGAAGCAAAACCTGGCGACGATCTGCTCAGGGATTGCATCGCAGGAGCACACTGGAAGCGAGTCGGTTGCTCCACCCGAACACCACGGCTCACCGCCATGCGTCACGCAGGAAGGGACTGAGAACCGCAAGGGGGTTTCTGCAAGGTCAGTTCAAGCAAAGTCCGATGACCATTTTCCTCAAGATGACAGTTCGAAGGCTGAAACGGAGGACCCTGGGAGTCTGTCATGCAAAGGAACCCCTGCTGGGAAATCCGAGGGCGGTGGATACAATGATGATGGACCTTCAGAGCCCCACACATCTGCTCAAGCGCCTCCTCTTCGGAAGCCGTCGAACTTGCCGCAGCGTCGCGAGCAGGGGGTCTCACCGGAGAACGCGCCGGGTTCGCCGGTTCCTGTAGCAGGGAATAGGAGCAAGCCAAAGAACGACGGCCGTGTTCCTCAACCTTGCCCTGTGAAACCTGTGCCAGAGCCAGGAAAACCCGAGGACGCGGCGCGCACGGACACGGACGCCTATGTGTACTGTGTCAAGGTGATCAGGTGGCTGGAGTGCGAGGGCTACGTCGAGGCCGGCTTCAGGGTGAAGTTCCTGACGTGGCTGAGCCTGCGGGCGACCCGGCACGAGAAGAGGGTGGTCAGCGTGTTTGTGGACGCCTTCATCGACGACCCTGCGAGCCTCGCCGGCCAGCTAAGCGACACCTTCTCCGAGGCCATCTACAGCAAGAGGCCGCCCATGGCGCCGTAGACGTAGTCTCTGCGTGGAACTTGAGCGCCGTTGGGAGCAACGGAGATCTTCTTTTGTGAATGGAAAGATAAGGGGAGTTTCTTCTTCTTTTGGAGTGACAAAAAGATAAGGGGAGCTGCCATCATCTACTGTTAGATATAACTAGCTAACCCTTGCACCAATTTCTCACTGGAACCTTATGCACTGTATAACCGTTATGTTTTGTTAACTCCCCATTCCCCTCCATTGAAAGTTAAACACACCTTAAGCAGCATGAAGCACCAGGAACTTTGCAATCTGGGACAACGCTTATTTCGAAATCTTGACGTGTTTTTGTAAGTGTGTGCTGCTTGCCAAGTTGAAGTTTGATGATTTTCAAGTATTTTTTTCCTTTCCATTTTTTGACAGCTTGATGATTCGAGCTGAATGTGCTGGCCAAGTATCAGTGTTGGTTTGCCTCGCATGTTCTCAGGAAGATTTGATCCAGCGTGAGATTCTGAGATCACTATCTCTGGATACTGTAGAAAATAGGACCAGACGTTTGCAGTGATGATCATATAGTAGTGCTGTATAGTGCAGGGCTGCAAACACTTCCTCACCTTCCAACCATAGGAACAAGTTTCTTTCCACTACCATAGGAACAAGTTTCTTTCCACTAGCAAAACTGGTCTTAACATCTGAAATCTGAACTATACTATAGGAACAAGTTTCCTTCCACTAGCAAAACTGGTCTTAACATCTGAAATCTGAACATCGCTCTGGACAATAAAAAGGCCATGATCCTTCCTCACCTTCCAACCATATGGCATTGAACATCTTTCATCGCATCAAACCTCCGGGTCTACAATGATCCGAACCCTAGTCAGCACAGTGGCTGAACTTGTTATGGTTATGTCCACCGTCCTGCTTGACTGGCTCATATATGTATCTTCACCAGCACTCCCTTCACTCAGCACGGCAGGCTGCTTAGGCTCCATTGGTAGCCTCATGCTTTCGGAGCTCAACATTGCAGCAACGTCAGTCATGGTGGGCCGATCTGCTGGATCTTCCTGAGCACAGAGCAGTGCCACCTGAGCACATCGTGTTATCTCAGCGACTTCATATCTGTTCCCTAGAGACGGATCCACGAGCTCATGCAGCCTTCTGTCCTTCCACAGACACCAGGCTTGAAATGTTTTTCAGTAGATTAATTTGATGTTACAGAATTGCAATGTGAATCCAGACTCATAGATTAAATATTAGCACAAACAGTCATGAGTATAGAATTGTGATAGTTGCTGCTTGAAATCCATTTATGTTCACTTACATCTCGTACAAGATCGCCAACGGTATCCCCTCGCTTGTCGAGTATGGTGTTCTTTCGTCCGCTAATGGTCTCCAGAACCAAGATGCCAAAGCTGAAGACATCTGTCTTCAGTGAGTAAACTGCTCCAGATGCATACTCCGGAGCAATGTAACCACTGGAAAATAGCGGAAAAAGCAGAGACCAAAACTGCAATATTAGCACATTTGAACACAGAATAATGGAACTTGTAATGACTGAAAAACCAGGAAGCAGGCAGCTTCATATACCTAGTGCCCACCACCCTGCTTGTACGCTCTTCTGTTACGTCTGAACAGAGTGTTTGAGCTGATCCAAAATCAGAAATCTTTGGGGTCATGTCACATTCCAAGAGAATATTATTCGGTTTCAAGTCCCTATGGACAATATGTAACATAGAGTGCTTGTGCAGGTAAACAAGCCCCTCTACCAACCCCTTGATTATTTTGAGTCTCTTAGACCAGTCTAGCAATTGTCCTTTTATCCTGTCTGTGGAATATTGAAACAGCAAGCCTTTAGATAACATAATTTTTACATATATTCTGCTCTAAATCAAATCATCACAGTTTAAAGCAATTACAACAGAAAACAAGAACATAGCAGATCAGTAACTGTCAATAAGTTTGTTCACATATTTACTCAGAAGCACGTCTTAAAATAACGAAAAAACTAACGCCCACACATGTGGTATTTTGCACATCGCCCACACGCCTCCATCATCACTCTTTTTGCCACGTATGAACAGATGACATCAGCAGGAATCTTTTTGGTTTCGGTTTAAAAATGTTTTATCTCCTAATTAAAAAATCGAATTAAAAATCTGTTTTCACCATTAAATTCGTCTCGACGAGATCTTCAAAACTAGACCCCATGTTGATATGTTTTGACGAATTTTTTTTTTGCCCAAAAGTTGGCATGATGTTTACACTGTAGTTGCCATAGTGATTAAACTAAAGTTGCCATGTGGCAATTTTAGTTTGTAGAGCATGACAATTTTAGTTTTTTGATGATGGCAATTCAAGTACTTTGACCATGAAAATTATTTTTTATATGAACCGTGGCAATTTTAAGTGCATGTATCATGGCAATTTTAGTTTATGGTTCATGACAAGTCTAGTTTCTTAATTCCCTGTTTTATAATATGTCAAAATTTACTTTTAAATTTAGAAGAAAATATCTGAAACATATCATGTCAACTTCAGTGTAAATATCATGGCAATTCATGTGCAATAGACATGGCAACTTTTAACCTAAAAAAATTCGTCGAAATATAGAGATATGAGATCTAGTTTCGAAAATCTCGTCGCGGGGGATTTAATGGTGAAAACGGATCTTCAATCGAATTTTTTATTTAAGAGATAAAACATTTTAAAAACTGAAAATCCAAAAAGATTTACACATGCATGCATGCGGTGACGTGGCTCCACTTCTTCGCCATAATCCGTCCATGCACGCGAGCAAACTCTCTCTGGACGGCCGACCGGCAACCGCACCCACGTCCAAATTGAAAGGTCCCAAACAAATCCACACACGCCGGAGGTCTCTTCGGTCCTCTGCGTCACGTCATCCAGCTGCAAACATGAAGTGATGATGGTGATCATATAGCACAATCTCAAACAACATACATAGGTAGAAAAACGAGTATTGAGATTTTTATCTTACCGAGCGCTATAGGTAAGCTAGGCCGGCGGGCCCCCAGTTGTACCCCGCATCCTAGTCCTCCAGGAAGCCGAGATACATCCATAGGGCGCAATCCTCCGAGTAGTCTTGAAAGATGACCTCCGTCAGAAGGTACCACAAATAGGCCCTCGCGTACTGCTCCACGGTCCGCTCATCGGCATCTTGCGGGCATACGGACCGGTTCTCCAGGAGCCACTTGAGCCGCACACCGGATGTTCTGTTCCCCTTCATGGGAGGGCAGTCGCCGATCAGGGCGATCACCCTCTCCTGCCAGGTGGCCCTCTCCACTCGCCCAGTCAGAGCATGGCCCTCGATGGGAAGGGCCATGATCATGCCAAAGTCCTCGAGAGTCACTGTCATCTCACCACAGGTGAGATGGAAGCTGTGCATCTTGGGGCGCCACTGGTCGATCAGTGCCGTAAGAGCTGAGTGGACAAGCGTCGGTGACTGTCTTTTGAACTGAAGAACGAAACCCAACATCCGTGCTCTCCTGAAGTACAGAGTGTAGCACTCATCGTACTGCATCTGCACGGCCTTCATGTGGCCCCTCATCCGCAATGGGGGGAGCATCTGTCAAAATGTAAACGGAATTGTTAGTAACTAATTTTTTCATAATAAACAATACAACAATTTGACGATAGACATTACCACTCCGTTCTCCATAAAATGGGAGCGGTGACCGTTGTCAAAAGCATGATCAAGCATGGTGTACTTCACGCCGATTTATGGCGCAAGGGGGGCGCCTATAACAATTAGAAATGATGTCATTTTCAACCAACTTGTATCATTTGAACAAACATGAACATATCAAGTCCAAATATAAATGAATCATATTCAACCAACATTCATCATTTATCATATATTCAACCAATATAAATGATCAATGTAAATGAATCATATTCAACCAACATCATTCATTCAACAACATTCCACCATCACTAATGCACTTGTTTATTCAATATTTATAAGAAAATTGCATATACATTATTCACCAAAATCCATCATATGACCATTTGTTTAAAAAATGCATATACATAATTCAATCATATGTACGCAACTACTTACCATCCCTCCAACATCAATCATATCACCATTTGTTCAAAAATAATGTTAATCTCCAACTACCTTCGTGATGAACTAGGGTTTATATCAAAACTACATATAATCTCCACAACTAGTTATTAGAGTTCATATTAACCATGTACATCATACAGAATCAACCTAAGCAATCCTGGGATAAAAACAAAGTAAGAAAATAGGTTTATTTGCACCAAATAATGCATCAAATCGAAAGTGTTTCGAGTAGAACTAATTGGAGGGATTGAAAGAGCTTACTTTTCCCGCCTCGGATCCATCTCGATCCGCAAAAATGGTGGCCAAATGAAGAAGATCGGAGGGGGAGTGGAGGGGATGAGAGAGAGCTTGTGCTCTCTGTTCTTGCAGCACAGCGCGGCTGGGGAGAAGAAGATGGGGGCTGGTTGGTGGGTGGGCCCCACGAGCCGGCCCCGCAGGCTTATAAGGTTTCAGCACCTACCTCCAGAGTCTACAGCGGTAGGGCTACATAGCCTACCGCCGTGAGCTCTGGCGGTAGGAGGATGACAGGAGACGGTTCTGTCTACTTGAGGCTGACGTGGATGAGTGGGCTACCGCCGCTCCATGTGGTGGTAGCCTGTATTTTCCTACCGCCATGGTCCCTGGCGACAGGTAAAAGGGTCAGATCCCGAAAAAGTTTCAAACATGGGTCAGATCTCACTTATTTTTGCCAAAAGGGTCAAAACACAAAATTTTGCCTCCACTCGGTGTCGCTGCGGGAGCTTGTCATGGAGAACATCTTGACACGCCGAATCGACATTGTTTCTCCCATCCTTAAGCAATTGACGCTGTCCTTACGGGCCGATGATCGACAAGGCATCTTGGCAGTGGCTCTATCACAATGGAACTGTTGTATTTGGTCTTTGGATCCTAGAGAAGCTGAGGCTACAGACGACAGAGGGACGAGGACAACTCCCTTCGGTGCTCATTCATGCCTACAATGTATGTCTCCTCTTTTGGTCAATTTACTGATATCATTCACCAGCTAAACTTAACTTTATGAATGATATGTACATATGCAACAAATTGTGTTTTCAGAGTTGGTATATTTTTTCCAATGAGGGAGCCAACTTTGCACAAGAGATAGAGAAGCATATGGTTGCTGACTTCTTTGCTTTGGAGCTACATCTGACAACAACAGGCCATGTTTTGGAGGATTTGTGTTGCATCTTTTTGGATTGATTCGGATCTGCAGTGTTATACGAAGACTTAAGGTCATCTGAGTCAGACAGAGATCATGGGTAATGCTCCGTCTGCTTTATATCTCAAATTCTCAATAATACATTTTCTAACCATTCACATCTTTGGTACTATTAGGGGGGAAATCATGCCCTGCAAATTGTCCTTGTGAGTTTACAAACTGGAGGACCCAAATTATCTCCTTGACCGCCCTTGAAGATTTAGAAATTGATGGCATCGAAGCAGAGGATCACGAGCTTGATTTCTTGAAATTGATATTCCGTTCTGCACCAATGCTTAAAACAGTGATTGTGAATCTGTCAGATGAGATCTCGTCGGGTGATGATACAATCACGAAAGTATGCGACATCTTTAGGGGGTACCCTTCTTTTTTTCGAAAAGGGGGACTCCCCGGCCTCTGCATCAGAATGATGCATACGGCCATCTTATTAACCAAATAAAGAAGTGCCAACAAGGTTCCAAAGTCTCCAAAAGTAATGAATAGCAAACAAAGCTCACATAGAGCTAAAAAGAGGATAGAAACACCAACTAGCCATGAACAGACGCCACAACCGGCTGGCTAAAGCTAGGTAGGTAAACTAAATGCCTATCCTATTACATGACCGCCATCCAAACCGGTTGAAGATATCCCGAGCTACCATCTCCCAGCGGAAAGATCCAGTAACCAAATGCTCCCTGGCCTCCGTCGGGGTGAGTAGCGACCACGAACGGATCAATGCCGTAGTTCACAATATAACCTGCAAAAATTGGATACATGATA